TGTACTTGCTTGGCATGCACGTACGTGTAGATAATATGAATAGCTATCATATTGTAGTAGGTAGAAATAAAATCCATGGTAATCTTGGGTTTGCAGTCCAACATGTAGGTATTCAAATTAACCTGGCTTACACATCGGCTCATGGGCCTTATTACTGGATCGTGAGGACCAGCGGGAGACCTAGCTAGCTGGACTTTGTATTATCGTAACCCGAACATGTATATTTTTCGGTACCTTTGCACATGGACGCTCTCTCTCTCTCTACTATATATATATATATATATATATATTCAATTTATTGTAAATATCATATATATAGTATGGTAAATTATTTGTTACCGGTTGTTATTGACCAACAAGTTTATCTACTGGTAGCCTGATATGACTACTAGGAAATTCATAGATAACCGTACCCATCCTGATTACCGTATGCCATGGAACATTCGAAATGTCACCCAAATTATTGTACGGCGGTAAATTTTAGCACCGGAGAATTGATCCAACACGCTGCATTCCACGTGCGGGAACGCCCTCGCGATGGTCTGTGTGGCGCCACCGACCCCGCCGGCGACGTATTTTGGCTGGCTCGTTCATGTTCGACAGAATGAACTCGCGGGGCAACCTCTACTAAAGCATATCAGGCCGCTTGAAGAATCGTATTGCCCCGCCTGAGACTGCGTGCTTGAGACCAGCGATCACATCTTTGCTTCGTTGAAAAGTAGCGCAGTATTTGGCGCTGGGCCACACAACGGTCTCTGAAGGCCTTCAGCGGCAGCCGTGGTGCACCGGGATGGATATAATAGCTATGCATGGTTTGAGGTCGACGTGATGAAATCAAATCCCTATGTAATCATGGGAAGGCTCGTAATGTAGGTGATCTTCAACGATAAAGATGTCTCACCCAATGTTGTCCTGCTCGGGATCATCAATGATCTAGCGGTGGGGCTGTCGAAAGCTTATATAGAAGAATGTCTTTCCTGTTATCCAAGTTCTTAGGGCCTGTTTTGCCAAAAGTTTTGCCAAAAGTTTTGCTGTTTTATCTCATCTTTTGGTAAAATAAATCTAAACACCATGGAAAAAACAACAAAACTAAGGCTTCAAAACTTTTACCATTTGGGACCCAAGAGGTCCAAAACTAGCCAAAAACGCGTGCGTGCGTGTGTGGGGTGTGTGTGTGGGGTGGGGTGGGGGGGGGGGGACGGACACACCACCACCCCTACCCCACCCACCCACCCCGCCGCTCGGACCCTTTCCATTCCCCCGCAGTCACTCCCCACCTCTCTCGCTCTCTCCCTCCGCGCGAACCCTAGCTCAGCCGCCGCTCTCGCTTTGAGCCTCCGCGGCCGACCAGATCCAGTTCCTCCTCCACGGCCCCCAGATCCAGCTCCTCCTCCTCGGGCCCCAGATCCAGCTCTTCCTACGCCACCGCCCTGAGCCAAGTCCTCCTCCCCGGCCTCGCTGATGAACGGCTACAACGTTGACGGCTACGGCGACGACCACTTATGCATATCAGTGTCGATTCATACTGTTTCCAAACAAGTAAAGTTCTTTTTTGTTCAATAAACCTTAACCGATTCTATGCTTTGGGATTTGCAGGTTTACGTCCGAAAGTCATTGCAGGTACTAAAAAAAACTCTCCTATCATCAAATCAAATGTAAAGCTACCAATCACGCATACATCTGTATTGCACTATTGCTGGCAACTCTTACATTATCTTATGCACATTAAAACACTCCATGCTGTCATTCTGTTGAACACAATGTGCTTAAGTCATTTTTTTTTTCTTTTCAGCAACATCAAAGGTAGCGTGTTTAACAGTTCTTTCTCTAATGGTGGTAACTGTGCTTTATCTTTTGCTGAAATCAAAGTATAATGAAGAGATACATTTAAAGGTTGAAATGTTTCTTTGGACATATGGAACATCAAAACCTACAAGGTACACTTTCTCTGAAGTTAAGAAGATAGCGAGACGGTTCAAAGAAAAATTGGGCCAAGGCGGATTTGGAAGTGTATACAAAGGCCAGTTGCCAAATGGAGTGCCAGTAGCACTCAAGATGCTAGAGAACTCTACAGGAGAGGGTGAAGAATTCATTAATGAAGTTGCAACCATCGGGAGAATCCATCATACAAACATTGTACGGCTGTTGGGCTTTTGCTCAGAAGGCACAAGAAGAGCTCTTATTTATGAATACATGCCAAATGAGTCACTGGGGAAATACATATTATCGTCTCATTTTAATTCTTCTCAAAGGCCTCTGGCACCAAACAAAATGTTAGCTATTGCTTTAGGTATTGCCCGAGGAATGGAGTACCTACATCAAGGGTGCAACCAGCGCATCCTCCATTTTGACATCAAGCCTCATAATATCTTACTGGACTACAACTTCAATCCCAAGATTTAAGACTTTGGCCTTGCAAAACAGTGTGTGAGGGACCAAAGCATTGTTACATTGACCGCAACAAGGGGCACAATGGGCTATATTGCGCCAGAAATATATTCACGGAAGTTCGGGGGGATATCATACAAGTCAGACGTTTATAGTTTTGGCATGCTGGTGCTAGAGATGGTGAGTGGAAAGAGGAACTCAGATCCAAGTATTGATAACCAAGATGAGGTATACTTCCCAGAGTGGATCCATGACAAAGTAAGCACTGGGCAGGACCTGGTACCGAACAGGGAAATAACAGAGGAGGAAAAGGAAATAGTGAGGCAGCAGGCCATTGTGGCACTTTGTGCATTCAATGGAATCCCAGGAACGATGACAAAGGTGGTAAACATGTTAACTGGGAGGTTGCAGAATCTGCAGATACCACCTAAGCTGTTTGTCTCGTCTTTAAGCCATCCTATGCCGTAAATATATTTTGAGCTATGGTTGCACACATATTGATGCCTATCACTAGTAGTATGTCATGTATTTTTATCATTCAAGTGCATTAGCCTCCTAAGGCAAGAGTTGTCAGTGTTTCACCATGTAATACAATCAATTAGAAACATATTGCATCAAACTTGAGTTCGGATTTAGCGTTTCAATTTCTTGACTGTGATTACCTAAAACGTGTTGATATGATTTCTCTCCACCTTTCCATATCTCTGCACTGTGCTACTAGTAGTTTCACATTTCAGTAAAATGTTATCCTTGCCCTTTTGATGGGTCAGGAATCAGGATATAGGCCAATGGCCAAATGACACATATCTAAACAATGAGGACTGTAATCAGGTTACACAAGTTTTGCAATGCAAGTGAATGTGTTGGCATGAATTTGACAACAATTGTTCTAAACTGAGAAAAGCAAAGGAGAGGATTTACCTTCCTCGGTTCCAGTTCCAGGTAGGAGGCAGAACTGGACGGCATTGTGAGCTGCCGTAGGAGGCCCTCCGGAGCAGAGGGCGGCGGCGAAAAGGACCGTGCCGGTTCGCCATTCGGGAGGCTGTGACAAGGACATTGGACAAGGGCATTACGCTGGGCAATATCACCGGCGGCTAAGTCTGGTGTATGGCTTGCTAGGTTGTTCTGAGGCCACAATCAGCGACAAGCGGTGCTGCGGTTCAGCGCACGGCTCAAACGAGAGGTAGCAAGGGCACGGAAAGATGCGGAGCAAGCGCACGGCGGGGTGTGATCAGCGGAGGCGGTCGGCGGTTGTGGGTGGGGGTGCGGCTACTTCGGCGACGGCGACGGCGGCGCGACGCCGCGTGGTGGACTGGTGGCGGAGAGCGCGAAGGAAAGGAAATGCCACGCCATAGCCCATGGGCCCAGTTCGGCCCATACAGAGATGTAGCAAGTGCGCTAGGCGCAATCCCCTTGCGCACAGCGGCACAGGGGCACCGCACAGCAGGCTTACCGGCGTTTCACCGGCCGCGGCGACGGCGCCACGGCGGTCTGACCTCGCGCGACGGCGCGAGCCCCTCTCCGCATCTCTCCTGCATCACACACACCTAGCCGCTCACTCATTATTTAGGGAACCCAATCCACAGCGGAGTGTTACGCGGAAACCATTCCCCTGCCTCCTCGGCTCCGCCAGTCCACCCGCACATGCGTCCCGGCAGTGCCGGTGCTCCGGCTGCGGCAGCGATTGCGGCGATCTGGACTGTCTGCTCAAAAGCTGCGCCCGCGAGCCCCCACTATGCCGCGGCAGCGGCGCTGGAGGGTTCTGTTTGTCGCCTTCTCGACCATCCCCACCTTCGACGCTCTCCTTCTCTGCACTGGTTGAGGTGATTATCTCTTATTACTCACTCTGCATGACTTGAGTAACGAGGTGATAATCATAACAAACTGCTTGTCAAGTGGTGCAGGAGTAATTTGTTAGGGATAAGTACCCCCGGTCAAGGTTTGTAATTGGAGTTAAATCTCAAAAACTTCAATCCAGAGTAAGCAGCGACTTCTGCACTACTGAACTGTGAATTTTGTAAGATGCGTGTCATATCTTGTTGAAAGCATTCGCTCTCAAAAAAATTAAAAATAAATCTTGGTCAAAGCATTACACGGTTAAAACAAAGAAAGCTAAGCCGAGTAGATAATCTATAGCGTGCAAATAATTTAGGGACTATGCCTCCTGTTTTATATAGGCCTGGCATAATGATGCCAGCGATTTTCGAAAAGAACTTTAGGGACTATGCAAAATGATGTGGTTAAATATACTTTTTTCTTACTTCGGCAGACTGGAGATTGGGAACCCCTCAACTCCCAATTTGCGTTAAGCATGTGAGTATTAGCATTCTGAAATGTGCAATTGATTTTAAGAAACTTTAAGAACTTGAAACAGATTTGTTTTACATTGGGAAACCAAACAAAACAATGATATATTGATAATGAGTTTCTGATCTGGTTTGCACCAAAGTATCTTCGCAACACTGATATTCTGCAAGTAAAACTAATGCAATACATGTAGGGCCTTCAGATTCTAGTAACATGAAAATCAAAATACAGAAAGTATGGCTTTTCTGAGCAATGCATATCTCCTTCATAAATCTAGGCTGCTAACTACACACAGTTATTTATTTTCACCTGGGTCCAGATAAATCTGAGGCATGTGCTGAGCTCGAGGAACCTATATTTTGTGCAATACCAAACCTTGCTGCACTTGTAGCGACGAAGCTATGATCAATGTTGGTTTCTGCATCCATGCTACCTTCCAGGACTTTGACCACCTCAGACATTTGAGGCCTTCTTTTGCAATCGATCTGCAAACACCACATTGCTAGCTGCATCACCTGAATTACATCCTGCTTGTGTGCTTGCATGTCAGCATTGTTCTTGTCAATCAAATCTACTAACTGATCACTCTTCACCTTTTCTTCCAGTAAGGTAATAAGATGGATGCTCTCTTCGGATTTTGAAGTGTCAAGGTTCTTTCTACCGCTGATGATTTCCATGACCACAACACCAAAGCTATAAACATCAGCCTTTTCTGTGATTTGTGATGTCAACCACTCAGGAGCTAAATATCCAGGTGTGCCTCTCATTCTTGTGATCACTTGGCTCTTATCCCGATCAATGAGTTTGCATAGTCCAAAATCTGAAAGTTTGGCATTGAAGTTTTCATCTAAGAGAATATTTTGGGGTTTGACGTCTAGATGGGCAATCCTCTTCATGCACTCCTCATGAAGATAAGAGAGACCCTTAGCTATGTGAGTAATAATCTTGCGTCTTGTTTGCCAATCCAGAAGAGCATCATTTTCATGTCGATTATGGATCCACTTGTCCAAGGACCCTTTGGGCATATACTCATAAACCAGAAGCCTATGTGATTTCTCTGCACAAAAGCCAATCAGCCTCACCAGATTGATATGATGAATGTTGCCGATTGTGTGAACCTCCGCTAAAAATTCTCTCTTTCCCTGACCAGCTCCATCCAAACGTTTAACTGCGATCCTTTCCTCCCCGTATTGCCCTTCAAAAACAGATCCAAATCCCCCTTCCCCAAGTTTATCTCTGAACTGATTGGTTGCCTCATGTAGCTGCTGAAATGTGAACCTGGTCGGCGTTCCTAGTAGTTCCCCAAACTCTTCATCTGCTTCCTCTATCTCCTGGTGTTGCCGTGTCCTTAGTTTATATGCGAAGAACGTGATGAATACAGCGAGTACAATCAAACTGCCTACTGAACCTAGAATCACAGCAAAAACTCTTGCTCCTGTAAAGGACGAGGAATGCTTTTGTATTCTCTCAGTAGGAATAGGTGCAGTCGGATTTGCAGCTGGTGGCTGAGTAGCAACAGGTGCAGGTGGATTTGCATCTGGTGGCAAAGCCAAAGCTGATATGTTGATCGGGGGGCAGAAGACAACCATATAGTTGGTTCCTGTTGGACAAGTGAATGTGCTGGTGGCATCATCCTTTGGGTAGCTGTACGCATCTGGGCAAATCGTCTTGAAAACCTTAGAATAGTTGGTGGGTCCACAAGAAGTGCTGCTGTTCCCGGTGCAGCAGTAGATGTCCTGCTTTAACACCGTGCATGCGTTGTTGCATCCCCCTGGCGCCTTCAGCTCACTTGGGCATTGTGATGTGATGTTGGCTGCACAGCGTGGCCCCTTACTGCACCCTTCCCCTCCCTGTCCATTGGCCGGCACCGGCAGGAAGTCCATGGGCACATTGAAGCCATCAACAAGCGAGATGTCGAAGAAATCCATATTGTTAAACTGTGCGATGGCAAACTCAGCCATTGTGTTGGGTGCCATACCGTAGTCACTGCAAGCAAGGACGCCACCGCAGTCCCCTGTCTCGCACTTGCCATTACCAGCACTGTTGAATGAGCAGGCCGTGCGTGCCCATACACGCCCGGTTGTGCCATCCGGCACGTTGAGGATCCACCACTCTCCTGGGTGGAGTTGTATGCCGCCGCCTGGCACAGCAGCGGGCCACATGGTGTAGGAGCATCGGTTGGTGATGCTGAATGTGGTGCTTTTGGTGACGACTGGTAGGAGGATGAGTAGGAAAAGAGGAAGGAACTGGAGGCTACACGAGGAACTCTCCATAGTCATCTTGTGATGTGATGTGCTTTGCTTGCATTAGTTTAGGTGAATATGGAAGTCATCTCTGGATTGTAGCATGGCTCCTGGAATGGTGGAAAGAGAAGATAGGATCACAGAATATGGAAGCCAAAATATGTAAGCACAACACACAGTTTATGATATTATGACAGTGCTTTATAGCAATTGTGCACAACGTAATTAAGTATGAGGAGATTAGGTGGTTGTGCAGCGGTTTGCAGCATGGGTGAGGAACCTGGAAACACAAGCGTGCGGAAGGAAAGGGTCGTCCATGGACAGTGGCGAGGCGAAGAGGCCGGGCTATTTGCTAATGTGCTCTATGTTTTTTGTGGCACTGAGACGAACTGCATGACATGAAGGGGAAACAAAGCTTTGACAAAAGCTAAGACTCACATGCAGCCGTGTGAAGCAGCTCCTAAGTCCTTTCAGACACTTTGACTGCTACCATCTACTATGGGCCCAAGAAGTTTCATTCATCACATTAAGCCCTTGTTTAGTTGGGTGAATTTGGATTTTGGGGCTACTGTAGCACGTTCGTTTTTATTTGGCAAATAGTGTTCAAACATGGACTCAAAACGTTTGTCTTGCAATTTCCCACCAAACTGTGCAATTAGTTTTTATTTTCGTCTACATTTAATGCTCCATGCACAGGCCGCAAACATTCGATGTGACAGTTACTGTAGCAACTTTTTGGAAGTTGGGGTGGAACTAAACAAGGCGTAATTTTGCGATTGTGACATCAACCCACAACTTTGGCCTAGCGTATACGCCATACATTCAGACGCAACTTCGTGGAACCAGCAACAGGCTTGCTGGAATCTTGACTGGCCAATCTTGCCGTCAACTACCATATCTTGGTCAACACAGCAGCGCATGCTGAACAAATCAATGGTCACGCAGACTTTGCCACACATCTACCAAACTAAAACCTTAGTAACTTGTTTTCTTACCATGCAGGAAGAAACGCAGAACAGAGGCAGCAAATGACATCAACTAGTGCAAACACTAGAGCAGCCTCTGTGCTAATCAGGATCCATCCCGGCGCTGCTGCCAGGGTCCAAGGTGTTTCACAGATGCAGCTATTTCGCCGGACCAAGTGACATCAACCCACAAATCAGCAGGATTGGGAGTACTATTCATCAACTCCCATCACTCCCACCCGGGATTAATCTTCACAACATCTACTCATTGATCATGGCAGAAGAGAAGCAGCGGCTTTGTCCTTAGCGGCAAGACTTGCTTCTCTGTTGAATTCTGAAATCACAAACTACTTAACTGACTACCAGAATGTAGTTACTTACCTCAATGGAGCAAGCCAAACCACTATTCCGGATTGGAGGATGAAGCCACTCACACAAGACTTCTTCAATTCCAACAGAGGAAAGCATTACAAGGTCTTCAAGATTTCTAGAACCCAAAACATCACAACTCATAATTTATCTAGACAAGCACATTCCTCTGTACCAGATTTCACATGCTTCAGTGCCTTGTCCTTCAGGCGCTGCTCTCTGTAAATTGGATGCCGTTCAAGCTAAACTCTGTTCGCTGTTCTTAATTTAATATAGCTTGTTGTTATATAAAAAAAAAACTATGGTCCAACAAGTCTCATTCATCAAATAGCTTTCCGACTGCGACGTCTGGACTACTATTCTGTATTCTAGCTAGATTATTACAAAAGCTAGCGCAGAGATTGCGCATCAAGCTAGCGCTGCAAGATGAAATTGTAGAAGGTAGATTTGGAGGAAGGCCACGAACATTCATGCTTGATCTCCAGGCTGCGCTGCAAACAGTGAGGCAGTGACGAGCTGGGTTTGCTGTCCATTTGATATGGAGACCAAGAGAAGCATGGCTGTTTGGTATCTTCATGCTTGCGAATTGCAGATCAGCCGACCAGGTGGCTTTTTCATTCAGTGGTGCTGCTACAACAGCCTGTCATCTGCAGAATAGATCACCAAGAACAAGACACATTGCATCACCACGTGTCCACGTAGCCGTAAGTGCATCTGTTTGTTCAAGTCGTAAGCTTCGAACTTCGTAGCAGTACATTGCTCCTGGCAGTTGCTTCTAGAAAAAGCATTGCTCCTGGCACGAAACTAATCTACCCGACAAATAATAAGATCTTGTTTGGGATTTTTGTCTAAAGTTTAGTGACTAAAGTTGAGGATTAAAACTTTAGACTATTTTAGCTCACTTGCGTGGTAAAATTTTTTCGTGAAGTGGTATAAACTTTAGACGTTCTGTTTGAAGCCTCGAGAGCTAAAGTGAAGTTTGGCTAAACTTTAGAGCATCAAATCCAAAACATGGCCTAACGCTGTTCGATCAAAGTAATAACAACACAGCCTTCGCAGAGGCCCACTCTAATGACCGAGTTTACTAGGCTACTTATTGGGTCATCCATACCTGTGCAATCCGGCCCACTTATTATTTCAAAGGAGCCCAACCCACCTCAACTTTCCAGTGTCTCAGCCCAGTCTGTCTGCGAGGAGACCCTCCTCTTCCAGCCGCCGCAAGGCATCGGGCATCTCGGCGGTGCCGGTGCTCCGACTCTCCGACCGTTGCGGCGATCTGAAGGGATGGTCTGCTGCTCTCCTATCATGTGCCGTCGTTTATGCCGTGCCACTTGGGAAACGCTGCTTCTCATCGCGCCCCCGTACGCCGTCGGTCCTCACCGGCTACCAGTACCACCGCACCGTATAGCCCCCACATCCATCGCCGCCTGCCTTATCTGCATTGATTAAGGTTAGTGTCTTCTGCCTATCAATTGTTCACTCTGCGTAATTATTCGTTGCGCAGCCGTATACGAGTTATTTGTCCTGAATAATCAAGGTTGCAGTAATAATAAGGGTTATTTGGATTCATGTCATTATAATTTTCGATGTTTGGAGAAACGTCATTACTATTCGTCTATTTTGAAGCATGCCATTACAATTCTTCGTTTTCCACAAAAATGCCACTGAATACGTATGGACACAGTCTGGGCCCAGCTGCAGGCGTATACGAAGACGTATACTTCATCTCCCCTGCCACTAACACGCTGACCCCACGTGTCATCTTCTTCCTCTCCTCATCTCTCTCTCCGACTCTCTCTCTCCATCCCGACGCGGCCACGGCGGGCACTGCCGCCGACGGCGGCTACGGGCCTGCGGGTGAGCCGACGAGTCACTGTCGTGACCCCGCGCGCTGCGGGCGAGCAGCCGGCGACGGGAGTGCCACAGCCGAGCAGCAGGACGTGGCCGGTGCGGAGCTCATCGCCCGGGTGGCGCGCCGAGGACATTGCCGGCGAGGAGGAGAGCGAGCCCGGGTCGCGTTGCTGGAGCGGCTCCTGTCCGTAGTGCCACGCTGCTGGAGCGGCTCCTGTCGTCGTCGTCAGTGTACCACCGCACTGACCGACCCGCGTCGCTGTACGCAGCCAACAAGAAGGCCGGCGAGGCCATCGCGCACGCGTACAACCACATCTACGGGCTCTCCATCACCAGCCTACGATTCTTCACCGTGTACGGGACGTGGGGCCGCCCCGACATGGCCTACTTCTCCTTCGCCCGTAGCATCGTGGCCGGTGAGCCCATCGCGCTATTCCGCACCTCCGACGGCGCCGACGCGCGCCGCGACTTCACCTACATTGACGACGTCGTCAGGGGCTAACTCGGCGCGCTCGACACGGCCGGCAGGAGCACGGGCTCCAAGTCCGGCAAGAAACGGGGCCCCGCGCCGCTCCGCGTGTACAACCTCGGCAACACCTCACCGGTGCCCGTCACCCCCATGGTCGTCATCCTCGAGAAGCTCCTCGGCAAGAAGGCGCACAAGCGCGTCGTCACGATGCCGACCAACGGTGACGTGCTGTTCACGCACGCCAATGTCAGCGACGCCGCGCGCGACTTCGGCTACCGCTCCGCCACCTCGCTCGAGGCCGGCCTCCGCCATTTCGTCGACTGGTTCTTGCGGTACTACAAGGTCGACGTCAGCGTGCTGTTGCTGCTGCTCGCGGGCTGCCGGCGTGCTGCTGCTGCTGCTCGTGGGCTGCCGGCGTGCTGCTGCTGCTGCTCGCCGTGGCCGTGGCCGTGGCCGCGTCGGGATGGAGAGAGAGAGAGAGGAGGAGAGGAGGAAGAAGAAGATGACATGTGGGGCCCGCGTGTCAGTGACAGGGGTGATGAAGTATACGTCTTCGTATACGCCTGTAGCTGGGCCCAGGCTGTGTCTATATATATTCAGTGGCATTTTTGTGGGAAATGAAGAATTGTAATGGCATGCTTCAAACTAGGCGAATAGTAATGGCGTTTCTCCAAACATCGAAAATTATAATGACATGAATCCAAATAACCCTAATAATAATGGAGATAAACCCCCCACAACAGCAAGGACAGTTAAAGCAGGAGACCTAATTTCATTAGAAACTAGAAAATCAATGGCCTGGAAATGCTTTGGAGAATACACAGTATTACACACTTATGTAGTACAGTATATAGTAATGTATATGGCACACATTTTTTTATCGAACATGTAGGACAGCTGCACATCTTTTATGTTAGAGAGAAAAAGAAGGGGAAAGAAAAAACCCATACAAGACAACCTACATTCCTCCACTAGGAGATATGATACACTTATATACTACAAAATGTTGTATAAGTGAACAAAAGAGTACGCACTAGTCTAGTGTGTACTCTTTTGTTCACTTATACAACATTTTGTAGATTGGGAACCCCTCAACTCCAAATTTTCTTTAGCCTGTGCATACTAGCATTTTCAAATGTGCTATTAGTTTTTAAAAACTTTAACTTCAAAGTTCAAACAAATCTGCATTACGTTGGGAAACAAAAGAAAAGAACAAAACTGTGCTCTTCTCTGATGTTTGATGTAGATCAACCTACATTCACTATGTTGTGACATTATGCAAATAAAACTAAAGCAAGATATATTATAGGGCCTTTGGATTGTAGTAACTTGAAAAATAAAATATAACAGATAAGGCTTCCTAGATATACATATCTTCTGCACAAAATCTAGGCTACTAACTTCTCACAATTACTCCCATGTCACCTGGGGCCTGATAAATCTGAGGCTTGAGGTGGATCTGAGGAACCTGTTTTTTCAGCAATACCAAACATTGTTTGACTTGTTGCGACAAAGTTATAATCAATTCTGCTTTCTACGCTCATGTGACCTTCCAAGACTTTGACGACCTCAGACATTTGAGGCCTTCTTTTAGAATCAATTTGTAAACACCACATTGCAAGTTCCATCATCTCCAGTACTTCTTGCTTGTGTACTTGCATGTCAGCACTGTGTTTGTCAATCAAATCTTCTAACTTATCACTCTTCACCTTTTCTTCCAGTAAGGTAATAAGATGAATGCTCTCTTTGGATCTTGAAGTGTCAAGGTTCTTTCTACCGCTGACGATTTCCATAACCACAATGCCAAAGCTATAGACATCCACTTTTTCGGTGATTTGGGATGTCAACCATTCGGGAGCTAAATACCCAGGTGTGCCTCTCATCCTTGTGATCACTTGGCTCTTATCCTGATCAATGAGCTTGGATAACCCAAAATCAGAAAGTTTAGCATTGAAGTTTTCATCTAACAGGATATTTTGTGGTTTGACATCCAAGTGAGCAATCCTCTTGGAGCACTCCTCATGTAGATAAGATAGACCCTTCGCAATGTGAGTAATAACTTGGCGTCTAGTTTTCCAATCAAGAGAGGGAGCATCATTCTCATGTGAGTAATAGATCCACCTGTCCAAGGACCCTTTGGGCATATATGTGAGCAGCTCTCCTGAAGATGTCTCCACCACTAGTAGCCGGCCCAAGAAGGCGAGGCCCAGAAGGCCCAACCCTCGGTACTCTGGAGAAGAATGGGCCAAGTGAGTGGCGCTTGCATGCGCGTGCCGGGGCGCTCTGCCTCTGTATTCTTAAGGAGAGGGGAGAGTACGAGACAGGCGTCGAATTGTAAACCTGAATCCGTTGTTCTAAACTAAGCACTCGTCCTTTGTCACCCGTTCTTCCTCCTCCTCCTGCCATGCTCTCCAATCCTCTCCTGATTCCTCCCAATCCCTCTACTATCTCTCACAATATACTCATACACCAAAAGCCTATGTGATTTCTCTGCACAGAAACCTATCAGCCTGACCAGATGGATGTGATGAATGCTGCCAATTGTCTGAACCTCCGCTAAAAATTCTCTCTTACCCTGACCAAATCGCTTCAAACGTTTAACTGCAATTTTTTCTTCACTGTATCGCCCCTCAAAAACAGACCCAAATCCTCCTTCCCTGTCGACAGAATATCGTCGGCAGTCCTCCGAGGGGTATCCCACGAAGGTAGATTGATCGGCAGAGAGGCATGTAATCAAGAACAAGAAGGCAACAGAGACACACGAGTTAGATAGGTTCAGGCCGTCAGTATGACGTAATACCCTACTCCTGTGGTCTATTGGTTTGTATTGGCTATCGTATGATATTGCGTGAATTTGGAGGGGGTCCCTGCCCGCCTTATATAGTCTGGGGGGCAGGGTTATAAGTCGATTAGATATGAGAGATAACCGGAAAGTAATAACAGATTACAGGAATCATGGGATCATACGTATTCTAACAGATCTCGTAGTATCTTTAGGATATCTTTTCGGTGTCTTGCGGGAGGCGCCGAGCAGAGTCGTGCCCTGCAAGGCTTCGTCTAGTGGGCTGGGCCGCCCCTGGGGGTGCAACCCATGTGGTCCGCCATGGGTATCCGGGGTCGTACCCCCCCACAGCTAGTCCCCGAGCGCCTTGTACCCGTTGTGCAACTCCGTCTTGAGCTTGTCCGAGCAGGTGCGAACAAAGTCGAGCAGTTAAACTCATGGTCCGACCACCGTGATGAGTTACCGAGCAGTTGTGAGCAGTTGCCGAGTAGTGTGAACCATCGCGGAGCAGCGTGAACCGTCGCGCGAGCAGTGCAACCCAAGTATGGCTTGCCATAAGGGTGTAAGGAGCTCACGTTCAGAATCGAAAATTTCTTCGTATCGGACCAAGTGTGCCCACTTAGAGTCCGACCACGAGAAAAGGAGATAGTCTTCTTCAGCTTCAAGAGGTGCGGAGTCTTCCAGAATAAAGCAAACACATTCACCGCGAGGTGAAGTGTGCCCACTTAGTCCCCGAGCCTGACAGTAGATGACGTAGTCATGTGGTGCCAAGGTCCAAAGTAGAAGAATAGTAAAAGACCTGCCGAGCAGGCAGCCAGTCCCCGGGCGTAGCCCTGAGGTGAGAAAAAGCACATTCACCGCAAGGTGAAGTGTGCCCACTTAGTCCCCGAGCCTGACAGTAGGTGATGTGGTCACGTGGTGCCAGGGTCAGAAAAAGAAGTCAACTGAAGAAAAATCCCCAATGCGGTGAGGAACCAAGACATAATGCTGACGCAGTCCCCTAGCCACGAGAGGAAATCTTGGAGAAAACAAATCATGGCGAAAATACCGTTGTAATGGTTGTACAATAGTAATTACTGAGCCGTAATGGTTGGCGGAGAAATCGGCAAATATTTGGCGAGTCGAAACAAATTGCGGAGATAAATCGGTGACACGGGCCACGGTTGCGCGAAAGCCCAGGTAACGGCCCACCTTGTTGTTGCGGAGAATTCGGAGAGGCGCAAATCGTCGGAGCAATTTCCCAAAAACCCTCGAATGCGAAAAGGTAGGGAGAGCGCTTTATAACTGCGTCGCCGTACCCCACGCTCCCACCTTTGCCACTTTGCCATTTCATCTTCTGCCTTAGCCCTCACATTTCTAGATTCACATCCACACGCGCTTCCGCCGCTAGTCCCCATCCGGATATGAGAGATGGCACCGAAGAGGGGAGCTGTGAACCCAAAGAAGGCGAGCGTCGGAGCCAGCCGTGACGAAGAGTGGGTGCCGTCGTGCATGGGAGAGGTGGAGCTCAATAGATTGGTAGAGGCGGGCGTTCTTCCTGACAGCGTCACCGTCGGATGGTGGCCAGCCAGCGGTGAGCCCTTCCGAATGCCTCACACTGATGAAGTAGTGGTGTTTGAGGATTATTTCTAGCGAGGGTTGGGATTTCCTGTTCATCCTTTCCTGAGGGATCTGTTGGAGTTCTGGGTGATTAGTCTGTGTAATCTCCACCTAAACACCATCTTGCACATCTCGATCTTTATCCACTTCTACGAGGCATATCTAGGGGTTCTTCCGCACTTCAACCTCTTCAGACACCTGTTCTGGTTGAAGAAGATGGGCGGCGACGGTTCCAAAGTTGTCGGCGGCGTATATCTGCAACTCCGGGATGGAATGGCGAGCGAGTACATTACTGTACCACTGAATACTTCTCTGAAGGGGTGGAACGCCAGGTGGTTCTACCTGAAGCAGAGCCATCCTACAATCCGCTGCGACGTCGACCACATCCGGGAGAGCCAAAAGAGCTGGTCAGAAAAACCGAGTAGTACCGACATGGAGCAAGTGAGGGAACTCCTTGACCTGATAAAAGGCATGGAGGTGAACGGCGGACTGGTAGTGGCGAGCTTCATAGTGCGCCACGTTCAGCCCTGCAAAGAGAGGGCCCACTCGGGCTTTGACTTCAAGGGCGACTACGACGACACCCGGGAGAGACCGGAGAGGCTAACGAGGAATGATGTGCTGGAGCGGGCCGCAGAGCTATTCGCTCCAAATGCCTCATTCAGTGTGTCAAGGCAGACGGTATAAATCCGCCTCCTCAGGTAACCATCCCCATTGCTTTGTTCGTGATGCTTTTTTATCCATGATTGTTGCCGAGCAGTAAACTGATTCACTTATGCAAAGATCCATTCGCAGGAAAGAGCGGTGTACTTTTCGGACGTGCTGAGGGGTGATTGGCCACATGCAGTAGATGCCCGGCCACCAAGTCGACCTGAGGAGGAAACCATCAGTGCCTCGTCGTAATCTGGAGGCGCGGACGCTGGGCGGATGGAGAGTCCTCCCCCGGTTTCGGAGAAAATCCAGGGGAAAAGGGCAGCGGCAGACGAGCCGGCCCGAAAGAAGAGGAAGACGGCTGGTGTCGCCCCTCGCAAGCCGAGCGGCATCTCGCTTGGTGGTGACTGGACCACTCAGATGCGGAGCGCCGCGATGTTCGAGTGGTCGGATGACGACGAAGTGCCAGTGGCTCCTCCACCGAGTACTAGGGCGCCTCCGCACAACACGCGCGCGGAGAGGCAATCGGAGGTAGGGGAGGGAGTCCTCGAGCAGCAGGTGATAGGAGTCCCCGAGCAGCAGGCGAGGGGAGTCCTAGAGCGACGGGTGGAGGAGAGGCCGATGGCGGAGACCGCGAGACCTCCACCCCAAGGCGCAGGAATCGACCCCAAGGCCACGGCTGGGGGCTCTAGTAAGCAGCGCCGGTTTAGAAAAATCTACCAGAAAGCCGATACGTAAGTACCCTTGTCTTGGAGTTATTTGGTTATCATATCCTTATCTCTTTTGGCGACTGACAAGGTGATCTAATGCAGCGCGAGGCATGCGGAAGATTTGCCCCCTCCCGTCCAAACTGACGAGCAACCAAGGGCTAGTCCTGGGGCAGAGGCAATGCCGGCGGCTCCCGTCCAGGAGTTCCCAGGTGCTCGGTAGTCGACGAAGGAGTCAACTGCCCCTGCTGATGGACTTTGTGGCGGTGAGAAGCTAGGGTCGATGGCCGATGGGTCGGCGACAGTGCCCGAGGCGATGGCGGGAGCCGCCGAGTCTTTGGGAGCGGAGGCTGGAGTCACCGATGCCACGCCGGAGGCCAGAGCAAAGAAACCTACTGTGCCCGAGGAGCAGAAGACACTCTCTGAGGCGTCAATGGGCGTGGTCTAACACGTTGTTCGGCCATAGACCCCCTGGTGGTGCCTCTAGCTGCGGCGGAGGAGGACGAGGTGGAAGAGATCGAACATGAGGAATCTTGACCCTAAGTTGTCCAAATCCTCCGCAAGCGTGGTGATGAGGTGGTGGTTGTTGAGGAGGAGGACTCAAGCAGGGAGCTCAGGAGATTAGAGTCCGCCCTTGCCGAAGTGATGAAGCAGATCAAGGTCAGTACTACATCTGTGATGTTTATCTTTGACGTTGGAAATTGTTCTTCTTCATAATCTTGGCGTTTGTGTAGGGGATAACTCGAACTGTCGAGCAGCGGCCCCAGCTAATAAAGAGGATGGAGCCCCTCACTGAGGAGAATGAAAAACTTAAGGAGGTGGTGAAGGCAATGGAGAAAAACGTCCAGAGGGCCCAGCGTGAGCGTGATCTTGCTGAATCCAAAGCTCGGGACCTAGAGTACCAAAAGGGCGCCCTATCCGAGCAGTTGGCAAAACCATGTCTGAACAGCTTCATGGCAGGTCCGAGCAGCTAGAATGGAGCTCCAAGCAGGTGACGAGTCTTTGCGATCAGCTGGAACGCAAGTCCGAGCAGCTCAAAAGTGTCTCTGAGCAGAGAAAAGGTATGGCGTATCGGTGAACTTGCTTTGCATTGCTGAATAATTATTGGTGATGACGGCCTTTGTACTTGTAGAGCAAGATGTAGAGCTCGGCCAGCTATGCCGGACCGCCGAGCAACTCCAAGAGGAGAAGGCGAAGGAGTCAGGGCGAGCAGACAAACTGGCTGAGGAGCTGAACGGTGAGTACTTCTTGGTCGGAGTTACTGTTGAAGTAATTTCCTTGCCTGATGGAACCTTATAGTGCTTGCAGACTACCATCGGAGGGTCAAGGCGTAGTTTGATGTGCTGGAGCAGGAGGTCAGGACCCAAAGGGGAAAGTTCGACGCCGTAGTTGCCGGGGTCAAACCGGT